AGTTCAAATAATAGAAAATTCAAATTAATAATATTAACTTTAATTATTATAATAGAAAATTTATAAGAAATTTGAAAAAAATTTGAAAAAATCTTAAAAAGGTAAATAAATATTTTTCAAACTTTTGTAAAATTATAAAAAAACAAAACAAAAGCTTAAATATTATTATCTTTAAAAAAGAATAAAGATGAAAAAAGTATCAAGTAATATAATATTACAGAAAATAGAAATCTGCATTATATTTAAAAATTATATAGAAAATAGTTACTTTATATTATTGCGTCATTGTATGAAAATATATAGAAAAATAGAAAAAAAATATTATAAAATATTTATTATCATCTTTTAATAATAAAATTAATAGTAAATTATATAAAAATTTGAAAATAATAAAATATTACAAAATAAAATTTTCTACAATATATATTGAATTACAATAAAAATGATTAAATTCAAAGTAATTTGAAAACAATAAACCTGAAACAAAATACGTTAAAATACTAGCTGTTGAATTTTGAAAGTTTATATTATCATTAAAAAATTTAACATTGAACTTTGAAGGTTTTCAATAATGAAATAATACGTATCAAAATTTAACCATTAAATTTTGATTTCAAAGGGTTGTAACACAATCAATAACCTTCAAAATCTAATATTATGATATAATTTTGAAGGTTTTCAAATTAATATAATTACTGATGTTATACTTTGATGATTTTACAATTTATATTGTTATTTTGATTTTATGATTTTCACATATAATAAAATAGGATTCAGCTTTATATTTACCTTTTACACTTTTCCCATCTTCATAATTTAATTTACATACTGGACATAATGATCCTTCAATAATATTATAGTAATCAAATTTTTCAGTAATAAATGTTTTATATAGATCAGAATATTGCCATAGTATCTTATTATGAAAATAAGTATGGTCATGAATTGGATTAGATAATACACTTGCTTTAGTTGATTCTTCTGAAATTATTTCTGATAAATTTTTTGGTAATACCTTTTCAGGCAATACACTTATTTTGGTTTCCAATAGTATTTTCTCATCCTCCTCACTTATCTTGATTTTTGGCAATTTTGATGAGCTAATTTTAATTACATTTTCATTCCAATTTGAAATGCAAATCATATTTGTATCAGTTGACTTTTTGAAAAAATCATTTATAATATTTTGATTTTAAACTTGAAATAACACTTGCACTATAAGTTACTTGTCTGATTCTATCCATCCTATTCCTTCAACTAATATATATATTTTTTTAGCTCTGAAGATTATTTTACATAAATTTACATCAGTAATGTCAGGTAGAAGTAATTTAATTTCATTATATACCAATATCCTCACAGATTTGTCATTAATTTTATTTTTAGACCTAATATTACTAATTCTATCTTCATATACTTTATAGTAACAATACCAGTATAAAATCTCTTTTTGTCTAGTTTTCATTGCTATATTAAATAGGTCAATTATATTTTGAGCTGTAACTTTATTAGATCCCTTAAAATCATTTCTAAAGAAAATTCAGGAATTCGAATGTCAAATGTATTATCAGATGTAATTTGTGTACAAGGTGCAATAATTTTATTATTATTGTTTTTGTCATAAACAAATATTTCATTCCTTAATCCCCATTCTACCTTCTGATTATAGGGAATTTTTATTTCAGAGAAATGGCACTTTGTGCCTAGCACCGATGTACTAGCTTCCACTATTTTGGAGGAGATGCCATTTTGTGACTGTTTATTGTGCGAACTAGTAGATGAATTTGAAACTTGAAGTTGAGAATTCGATTGGATACTTTTTTGCTCATGGAAAATAATAGAGAAAGTATCTTGAGCTTGAGGTTTTGCTTCTCTTTTTCTTTCTCTTATTTTGTTACTAATCTGTTCTTTATGTACTCGATCCTGAAAATCATCAATTTCCTTATCTTCTGGTGATTTGGGGTTTGTACGAATAAGTGGTTCAGAGTATTGAATATCCGACTCCTGGTATATATCAGAATTGTCAGAAGCAGTCGCAGAGTGGTTAGATGTATTATCTAGTATATTTTCTACTTTTTCAGCGGAGCTGGGATGGTCAAGATTATTGTTAGAATTTATTTCAGGAGAAATAGCACTTTGTGTCTACTCAAGATTTACAGAATTGGTGTTATTATCCGTGCCAGAATGAGCAATAATAGATGATGGAATAGGTGTTTGTAAAGTTACTGACAAGGTCGGAGAAACTGAAGACTGCAAAACATTATTAGTAGTTCGATTTTGCTTTATAATTTGTTATAGTTTGGTATTTTCGATCCTAAGATTAGCAATTTCTTCTATAATTTGTTTTAATTTAGTGTTTTCAGCCTCGAGTGTAGTAACTTGCTGTTTTAATAATTCGACCTCTGATGTCATGCTTAATAATAATTTTATATAAGACACGATTTATTTAAATTATCAAGTTAAAAAAAAAGTTACGTTTCCGTTCCAATTTGGAACGCAAATTTCAGAATTTCTATTTCTATTAGTTATATACACCTACATAACACGAAAAAATAATTCACGAAACACATGCACGATTGTTTATGATAAATCAACTGTCCGTTTTCTTTTTTAAGTTCTGGTATTCCCCCATTTTTTTGTCTAAGTGTATTAATCTCGGCTTTAAGCTTGGAATTCTGTTCTAATTTTAGATTGTGTATTTGCCATTGTTTTATACAAGATACAGATATGTTCAAAAGTTTGAATTAAATCAATTCTTTATGCCGATCACTTTTGCCAATAGATAAATAGGGAAAAAATTTTGGAAATCGCCATTTACTAATGTCTATTACTCAGGTCTTCGTTGACCGCAAAAAAAATATATTAATATTTATATTTATATTTTTGACGTTGCACTTTCCTCTTTATCTTTATTTCTTTTCGGAACCAATTACAATTTCTTTATCCTCCCACCCTTTCGAAAACTTTGACAACCCCCTCTACTATCTTGTACGAGCGTATTTGTTGTTTTCGATTATTGCTTAGTGGAATTTCTAATCACATTCTCACTATTTGTAGGGTGCCATCGGGTTGGGAATTATTGGCATTTGTTTGGCTCTGCTTGGTTTCTTTTGCACTGGAGATCTTTTTTACGCTTGTTGCCGAAACAAATACAATAGCAAACTTCTTATTAAGACCATAGACAAAGGCAATCGACCTGGAACTGGAGTTTCAAATGTTAAATTTTTTCCGCGAACTGAAATTGTAGAACTTCTTGAAAGAATTCTTCAACCTGATGAAAATCAATCACATTATTACTTGATCTGTGGTGAACATGGAACCGGGAAAACTACAGTGGTCAGAACTGCATCGAGTATTGTTGATCATGGCGTCGTATACGTTGATATTCCTGCTCGTAATGAAAATTTGGGCGTAGCATTTAGGCAAGCTCTTAACTTTGCATTTGAAGAGCGAATCTCTTTTACAAATCAATTGATACGAAAATTGGGCAGTACTAGTAGTGAGTTTATTATCACTGCATTTTTATAACAGCAAGCATTTTTGACCCTTTTTTCTTTTTGATAGACGATTCTGATGAACCGATGTGGCGTAGAGCTTTGGAAGCTTTTAAGCGTGGTGCTAAAGTGTATAAAGCAAAACGTGGCAGACCTGCGGTTATTGTTTATGATAATGTTAGCCAGTTGATTCTAGAGAATCCAAAATCCTTGATACCCTCCAAGATGATGCCAAAAAAAATGCTGATGACCAAATATACATTGCGGTGTTTGTCAGTAGTGAAGGCGCGGTTCCGAGAAGAATGAAATGTAAGGATAGACATTATTATTTGCACTTGAAGGAAACATGACTTATGATGCAATTCTCATTTAGCTCGTAGTTCCTGGTCACGAGCAAAAAATCCACCAATAGAAATCGGTGACCTTAGCGAGGAAGAATCAATAAAATATCTGACTGAAATACATAAGATCACCGAAAAAGCGGAAGAATTATATCAATTGGTCGGTGGTCGCATTTTAGAGTTGAAAGATGTTGCAAATGATTTTTCGTCAGGACAATCCATTGAAGGTATGAATAAGTTTCATAATTTGCATAATTCTGCTTTGGATTAATTGTTTAACTTCTTTTCCCATAGACATCGGGAAGAAAATATTACTTAAAGCCTATGACAAATTTAATTCAGCAAAACTACTTAAAGATCAAGAACATCACGAGGCAGGAAAACGTGTAATTAACGCTTTGTTGGGCTCCAAAGAAAGTAGTATTGAGGAATTTAAAGAATTATTCGCAAATGAAAAGGAATACGGTAAAGTTTTAGAAGCTAATGTGTTTGCATTTCATCCATCAAGAAATACTGTGAGTTTCCAATCGCAATCAATAGAATATTACATTCGGAAAAATTATGATAAATTTGCTGGTCTAGTTAGCCTCAGTTTTAATTACGCATCAACTTCCAAATCATAACAGAAATGAAATTTATTTTACATTATTCAACGTAGTTTTTCAATGCACAATATGAAAATTAAAACGAAATATGTGACATTCTTTCAAGAAGGCATTACAAATTCTGACAATATGATTAAATAGAAATCATGTGCAATTTTATATATGTAACATTTTGGTATCGGATAAGAATACAAAATTTTCAATTCAATAATAGCTAAACTTCTATGATATGTTGATCGAATATCCACGGCAATAATTAATCCAACTATTTCTTAATTAATAAAAAATCATGTGCGCGTGAGCAATGTGAGATCAATATACAAGAATAAAATCCCGAAATACACATGCAAAAATGAACGCGATTAAGGGTAGAGTCTAATCACGTGATATTTGTTAATAAATGATCGTCTAAAAAAATTTAAAATAGATTATTTAGCACAAAAGTCAACTTATCCAATACCCACGAAAGAAACTTTATATTAATAAAGTTTGCTCTTTAGAACCTATAGGTTATTATTTTTATAATAAATAATTTTAATTATTTTTTTAATAACTAATCAAACTTTAATAAATTTATATTCAAATTATTCAAATTGATAATAAATATTTTTTGTAATATCCTAGTTCCATTTATTAATAATTTTAAAAATAAAAAAGTTATAGAAATGAAATTAATATTTATTTAATTAATCTATGAAAATATTATTTTTGTGAATTATCTACATATATAATTATATATTTAAATATTTCATTTCTTTTTTGATTTAAATATTATTTTATTAAATATTTGATATTTTATATTTATAAATTAATAAAAATTTATATTAACCAAATATTAAATCTAACTGATTTTAATTAATAAAAAAAAAACTTTAAAGAAAAAATAAATACATAAATATAAAAATAAAGTATAAATTAATTATCTTAGAAGAAACTGTTAATTTAAAAGGTCTTTCAACAAGAAATAGTATCAGATCAAAATTAATAATAAATATAATAAATTAAAAAGAAGTTACTGTATATACAGTATCTTATGAAAGTACCGTAACATCAGACTTTTTGTCTTTAAAAAATTCTATAGCCTGAACAAAAGATTTTATAATAATAGTTATTAAGCTCATTTAATTCTTTAGATTTGAAGATTTTTTTGAAATGTTTTTGATATTAAATTAATAATTCCAATTTTACATAAATAGGTAATCTATATGGTGAATTGTCACTTAATAAAATTTCAATTGTGAATAAAATTTTACACAGAATGGTTATAGCTAAGATAATTAGAGGATTAATAGTCTTTCTTGAGGTGTAAGAATCAGGTAACTCTTATTTAGTCTATACCTGCCACCCAAATTCAAAATCCAAATGCCAAATTCCCAAATGCCAAAATCCCAAATCCCAAATTATGATTAGTATTTTTTGCCGAAATCCCAAATCCCAAATCCCAAATA